TCCAACCCAAAGCCTGAAGTTTTTACATTTATTTCTATCAAACATCAGAAATGGGATGTCTAGAGCTGACATCACCAAAACAAGATGTCTTTCACTTTGGGGGTGGGGGTGCATGCATAGAAAGCACACTAGAAATTCAGCACAAGACAATGATATGATGGAATATACCATAATCTGCATATAATAACTTTCATAAATATAGCTAATATAAAATTACAGTTGAATGATTTTTATTTTTTCTTAGGTACTTAGAAATAAGTCCCCAGTAGTATTTACTTCTGAACAAACATTTATAGGATTGCAATCTGAATGTTTCATTCCCAAGTTAGTAGCAATTAAAGTAGAAAATCAAAATTTCCAATTTTGTCTCAATTTTCAGTTTGATCTCTGCCATAATGAACTTGATTTTATAAATGGGTAGGGAGACTAGGTAATATTAGGAGCTTAATTGTACAATTCAAATTAATGTAATCTGTGAGAATGAATTTCTACTTTTCTCACAACTGAGCAAAATCAAAAAAAGTTATCAAAATATCTGAATATCTTGTTAACTCACAACTAATCATTGTACTTTTTTTAAAAAAGGCTCATAAAGGCCCACTCATCTATGAAAACACAAAACTATGGAGTTCAGCAGTACTGGAAAAATTCTGGAGCCAAATATTTCTCTTCTGTCCCTCTGAAATGCATTCCAGCTGAGCAAAATATATTGCATGATAGAAACAGATGGATCTATCTCCCGAAGGAAAAATAAGGTTTTGACCTTTGTATGCAGCACTATATTATTGTGTTCTCAAAATAAGTTAGGCAAATGCACACTTTCAAATAAAATATAATAATGTCTGGTATATGTTTTAGCTATAGAACACTGCATCGGCTTCATTCATTGATTATATTTATCCATTTTTAAAAACTGAAGATACTAGTTTAGAAATATAAAAAAATTTCAACAGAGACCCTGCTGGAAGTGAGTTTAGAACTGTAACTCTCAGCAGATCCATGACGAAGAACATTATAAGAGTTAAGTGTAGCTAGTATTTAAGCTTTCCTTCAAAACATAATCCATCATACTATTAAAAATGAATGAGGTGGCCAGAACCGTTGGCATTTAAAACAAAAACAAAAATAACTCCACTTGTTCACACCAGTGCAAGGCTACTTCTGTTTTGCAGCACTTTCTAGATTGGCCCTATAACCACAGAACAGATTAGGCCCAGATCTAGCAAAGACTCCCACTGGAAAAAAGGAGAATATTTTTACAAATTTAACCTTACAATTCATCCATGAGATTCTAGAGTATCCCTCAACTTTCTGAAGCAGATTTCCAGAGAGCACAATAATTTTATTCCTCCCAAATTAAATTATACCCGATTTTCAGTCTACATCCAACACAAAGTTTCTAGATCTGATGTGCACAGAATTCAAAAAAAGTTACAGTACACCTAAAGAAACATCTAGCATTGTATCTGCCAAAGCATTACATATATGTATGGACATTTCAAAGTTCACTTCTTTACGAACCTCATTAACAAAAGACACTGGTTCAGAGTGACTTGGATGTATTGATATAACTAGGAAGGATCTATAACAATTGAGCAAGAGTCATGAATACCTAACAGAAAAAAAGAGATGGCAGCAATGATAAAGTAAGCCAAAGCTTTTTGCTGAGCTCCATTTCTGGAGACTTCACAGACACGGCCGTGTAATTTTCTTGGCAACAATATGGAATGGTTTGCCACTGCCATCTTCCAGGATGTTTTTTCAACTTCCCAGTGTGGCCCATAATCCTGGGATTTCCTGAGTCTCCCATCCAAGTACTAGCCAGTTCAGCTTCATAGAACAACCAAAGCTGGTTACATACTGAAAAATTTCAACTTCTGTCGTTTTATGTATTCTCTGTCTCAGCTTCAAAGCCCATCAGAGAATTAATCTCTTTCACATAAAATCAATTTTTCAATAATTTAAACACAATGAATAAAAGCAGACACAGCCTTTGCCATTATTGACGCCATATGAGCTTTAAGAAACAATGCAATCTTGCCAATCCAATATAATATCAAGACTGCCTGAAATCCCCTGCCTCTCCTTTGCAATAGTTTTGTCACATTTACAGAGGCTTGGTTAAGACACAAAACACACACACCCACACAAAGCATTACACCAAAGGCAAGAATTGTCATGTGTAGCAGACAGGAATATCATTTATTGATATGGAAAGGCATTTTATTTTTTTAAAGGTTGACAATAATTGCTTAGTGTATCTCCAGTGCATATTTAAAGAAACTCTTACCCAGTCCAATATCCTCTCCCCATTTGCCTCCATAAAGGCACTAGAAGCATGTTTGGCATTGTTCGGACAGGAGGATAGAATCATTTACCCACTGAACATAGTTCATAGATTTAACATATTTCAAACCAAAGATCTCAAGGCAATCTGTTCATATCCTCTGAATATTTTTTCATCAAGACTGCCCAGGAGAGATGTTTTCTACATTCTGGCAAAACCAGTTCTTACTGGCTTTTGCTAAAAAGGCACACGGTGTTTTGTCAATTTTTTCCATCTCCTGCTGTGAATGATCTTGTTTAGATACCATACAGCTTAAACATACTTGCCATAATATCTATTCATCTCTCTGAATACCTGTTTTCAAATCTGGGGAAAAATTTAAAAAGAGAAAATGACTCTGTTTGTACATTTGAACTGGTAAGAAATCAAGCTCTGCTCTATTTTACATTTCCCAAAGTGCCTATTCAAAACTTAGATATTAAGTTTTATTCTGCCACATATTTCCACCTATCTTCTGCTATCCTACTGACATGTATGATTATTTCAGGGAAGATACAAACTAGCTTCTCTTCTTAAAATAATAGGATCTTACCACTTAAGGCAGTAGTGGCAACAAAGTTTATGTTGGAAATTAGTTATGACTCACTACTGACTCTGTGGCACAGTATCAAGTTTTTTCTATTCCAAAAGGAATAGGTTTTTTCAGTTTTTCAACTTTTTCAGTTGCAACATTTATTTAAAACATTTTGGCAACCATATTGAAGAAAAAATAATAAACCCTACAGAAGTTTGTGCATTTATAATACAGCATCTTTTTAAAGTGACTATAACAAATTTTTTCTGCATACTGAACTAATAAATGTATTATTTCAGTTGCAAGAAACAATCGTTTTTTAAAAATTAAAATGCTACAAGTCAGTGTGCCTCTTGCGATCCTGGCTTGCAGCATATAAATTTCAATTACAGTCTAACCTTCGTCCCATTATTCATCTGCTGAGTCCAAGATTAATATATAATTCTGTCAGTCTGTGCTTTAAACAAAAGTTATTAGGAGCACCATGAATTTTAAAACAACTTTAAAAAGAAAGGTATATTGTTCATAATGATTATGTTCTAAATACCTGTGGATCAGCAAGCAGCCAGAAAACTCAGGACTACTGTACACACAACAAAAATAAATGCTTGTTCTATCTCCTTTACAGGAATGCTATAGAATATGAAGGGGACCCCCCCCCCCCCAATCTGCAAACATGCAATATGCCTGTTTGGAAGCCATGCCTGGCCAAGGCACCTAGACTCATGTTTACACATCTTCCGGTATTATGGCATCAGCTGTGAACAACTGGCAAGCATTTTGTTAAAAAATCTTAGGTATTCCCATCTCCTTAAAAAACATACACTATGAGGTCTTCCTAACAAAAGATGTAATCACAACACACTACAGCTGCAAAACATGAATAACCATGCATAGTTTAAAAGGTTTATCTTCTATCCCCCTTCACTCTCTTGTTAAATAGCTATGGCATTTAACTATACAGTATTTTTCTGTCACACAACACTCATAAGATAAAATCAGTTAATTCATACTACCAAAGTATCACTCATATCTCTTACAAGTCCCAGGGTTTGCATTTTTCTCCCAAAGCTCAGAATGCTAATTAAAAAAGATCCCAGCATTCCATGTTTAGAACAGTATTTTTGGAAGCATACCCTAGCCTTTTCTAACTGGGACTCTTCATATGCATTAGATTTCAATATTCTGAATTCCTAGCTGTAGACTCTACCTGCAAGCGATTCTGTAAATTGAAATCCAACACATCTAAAATGCAGAACATGATCGTATACATCTGCAGTTTTACCCTTGAAAGGCAAATAATCTATTTGTTCTAAGTTACATATGAAGGGAATGATATTAAGGAGACCTTAATACAACCTGATTGCTAAATAGGCCTTTTAGATCTCTTAGGTTGATGAAATCTGGAAGAAACTAATTAACTAATCAATAGTTTACTGAACTGTTTCTTCAGAATTGAAGTCAGCAGCAAATCTTCCAGAATTATTGCACTTCATAACAGCTGCCCAGGGAGGTTGAATTATGGTAAAGTTACAGCTAATTTAATAAGTCATTTGTGGCAGAAAATCTACATGAAGTGAAACACATCACATTATGGGAGATAAAATGTTTTGTGCTCCATCCACTATTGCCAGAGAACTCTTCAAGCTCCAACATGGGATGGTTCGGGTATACAGAATCTGCTTTTTAAAGAACAAAGCAGTCAATTCAGAAAGTATTAATTGTGCTTCTCACTACTCATGGCTAGCTCATGTAACAGCCAAAGACCCAAGAAGGTAGATATTGTTTACTTGTAATAATTTTGTAAACGAGGACATTTCAATGGGGAAAAATGAAACATGCAGTTAGATAGGAAATTTCTGCTATACCTCCCTCTTCCTTTGGTCACCCTCTAGACAAGAGGCAAGCTACAAATAAATGGCTATATCATCCAAATTTGAGTTCGCACACATACTTAGTTCATACCTTATACAGATCCCAAAATATCATATGTATTGTTCTTATGTGACATGTGATTCCTGGAAAACTGAAGCAGAGATCAAAATTTTCAATGCAAACCAAGCATCATTTCTTCAAGACCTGATCAATTCCTGCTAAGATTTGTAAGTAACCTTGTAAGTAAGTAGTTTCCAACATACCTCTCCATCGCTTACAGTAAAAATGAGTGAGTAGTCATCCCTTAGAGAATGATACATTGCAAACATAACATTATAATTTCACAGCTGCAATTATAAAGAAGCTTTGTTCTAAGGCACAATAGTCAAGTGGGAGGGGAAGACCCCATTCAAACAGACAAACCCATATTCTTCATAGCTCTATTTATCCATTTCCCAGAGAAGCATCCTGAATTTGTGCGGCATTCTTCTAGGCTTTTTAGAAGTCACTGCCTAAAACAGGAAGGTGTAGCCCAAATCACAGATGGCTTTGAAGGGGACAAAGTTCCAATCCTATGGCAGTTCATTCTCTCCTTTTCATGCAGAAAAGCGGATATATTCCCACTCACTCATACACGCATGCTACAAAGGAGACCTCACCAGATCTCCTATCCAATGAGAGTCTTCCTATTAGAAGCATTCTCTTTTCCTGCCCAAAAGTGCTAAAACATTCAGGATTCTTGTAACAATAAACTCTACTTTTCTAAGACGCACGCTTCTCTCTCCTAAGCCCGACCACGATTCTCCCATCGGGCTGCCAGTTCGGATCCAGCTTCAAGCCCGCATGGCTTGCGAGGTTGGCGGCACCAAGGCTAAAGTGCGAAGGTACGGCTCGCTATCTCCAAAGCTTGGGCCGCTAGAAGAAAGAAAGGGGCGCAGGCAAGCCGTGGGCGGTTCTACCCTTAGGATGCTGTGCTGTAGGACTCCGGAAGACTGTGATGCAAGGTAAATTAGGCTGGTTTCTGGAGCAATTGCAGGCTCTCACAAGAGCTGGCTTGCTCCCAGATCGCGGTCGCCACCGCCTCCCGAGTCTCATCACAGGGAAGCTGCGGACTTCTCGGAGCTGCAATCGCGGAGGGTATAGTTGGCCCCGCCGTTGTTGTCCCAATGCTCCCCTTGTTGGCTTCGGTAGCAGATAGCGAAATGCACGGCCGTCCCGTCTGGCAAACCAGGAGGAAGGCAGAGCGCGAACTGGTAACGCTCGACCGGAGCGGAGACATCCGAAGGGTCCCCGTCGGGGAGCGGCAGGGCGGGGACGTCCAGGAAAGAAAGCCACTCGTTGAAGGTGTAGCGCACCGTCACCTCCTTGGAGCCGGGGCAACTCAGCACCCGCACCACGCCACGCACGTCCGTGGGCACCCCGGCCAGCGCCGTCCCCGCCGCCTCCTCCAGGCAGACGCGGTCCCGCCGCAGCCGTTCGGCGCCGGCTTGCTCCTCCGCCCCCTCGAACTGCGGCGCAAGCTGGAGCGCGACCTGGAGCGGC